AGCCTTGACACCAGGGCTATAGGGATGAATGAGTAAAATGTGATAACTAGTTAAGGGACTGCTTACCGCAAGGTCTGGGTGTAGGACAAGCCAAGGAGACCAGTGCTGGTAATCTTAGCCTTAACGAACGCAGCCTTGTCAAGATAGCTAAACATCGGCAAAAAGTCAGAAAGGAGGGATCACTGCTGCGCCGGAAGGCTACGTACACTTTGGTGCCGACTTCAAGGTTCATGCCGTTGGATGACGCAGACGAGTTGTAGACAGCCTTAGCGCCGGCCTCAACATCAGCGTTGACTCGGTGATAGTAAGAGGCAGAGAACAGGCGCATGTTGCTGAGGGAGTGGAGGGTGATGGCATAATCAGGAGCGCTGTAGCCAAGAGCGGTGGCATAGCGAGTGATGCTTCCATCGTTGACATTGTAGTTGGTCTCAGCACCGATGAGGATACCATTCCTGGCGAGGACGATATCACTCGTGATGTTGGATCCCTACTCAAATGTCAGACCAAATAAGCACAAACAATGGAGAGAAATATTTCGACCGACGCACGTTGAAGAGGTTGAGAGCAGTTCGGGCATGGTAACCAGGTTGCTTGAAAGTCAAGTGAAGGAGACCGCTGTTGATACCTTTTTCGGGGTGAAGCGCAGAGTGGGCTTCGATTTTGAGACCCTTGGCGAGCTGGTTCTCAACCTCGAGTTGAGAGCGGATCACATTGGAAGTGGTCCAGGTGTTGGTGAGGATAGTACCGTATTTTGGCTCGGTGTACTTGGCCTCGAGGTCGCCAACAATGTGTCCCGACTTAGAGTCGTGCGTTCCAGCAACACGGAAGGCAACATTGGAGGGAGTCTTGGTCTTAATCTCGAGACCAATGGCCTGGAATGGGTAATCCCTTCCTAGGAGGTCGTTGGAGCTTTTTCCGAGATCCTACATACGCGTGGTCATCGGCAACAATGTTGAAGGTCACCAATGTTGGCGAATGTCAGCAGGTGCAATAAAAGCAAAAAGAGACTGTAAACAATCGATACTGACCTTCCAGGAGGGTGGGACGGGTTGTGGGACAGACATGGCAGAGAAGAACAGGTTTGTTGCTTTGTTAGTCGAAAAAGATCGACAGCCATGAAGCGGGAACGCGATGACGCCGACGACGAGGGGAGCAGCGGTGATGAAATGGGTCCAATGCCCATCTCAGATAGTCAAACTATCAAGAAGAAGCGAAAAGGTGAGCTTCCTCGTTCAGGTGCTGGAGGCTTGTTTTTAACAAGGCGATTTCCAGTGTTACCGCATGAGAAAACATTCTTAGAACATCTTCCATCTGCGGATCAATACTTTAAAAGCTTTATGCATAGGGATATCGTCAATTTTGTGACGGTTACACGGTACGCCACAACAAGCAAGACTTATGCCAGTTGCTCACTCCTTTTCTTCAGAACAGAATTCTTGATTACAACTTCGATCGATGGACATCTCAAATTATGGAAAAAACAAGAAGTAGGTATCGAATTCGTGAAGCATTATCACGCACACCTTGCGCCTATCGTGTCTGTCTCTGCTAGTGCAGACGGAACTACATTTGCGAGTATCGCAGACGATGGAAGCTGCAAAGTGTTTGATATTGAGAACTTTGGTGCGTAGACTCATTATCGCTTGAGATTGGGACCCTCTAAACCGACACATTCATATCAATTACAGACATGATCAACATGATTGACTTCCAATACACGCCAGTCGCATGTTGTTGGGTGCACAAACGAGGACAAGCTAGGACTTTGCTTGCAGTGTAAGGATCTGGCAACCCGTGCTTGTGCCTTTGCTGATGAAATTTGGTTACAGCTCCGAGAAAAATAGTGGAAAAATACACATCTATGATGGAAGAGGAACAAATGAACCAGTTCATACAGTGGACAAACTACATAAAACAACCGTCAGCCTAATTACCGTGAGTAATCAGCTACCAGAATCTTCGTGGCCTAATGACTGTTGTTCAGTATGCCGACCTATACGATACGGTGATATCTGCTGATGTTTCTGGTTTTCTAGAGTATTGGCAACCTACAGAGCCTTTCGAGACCCCGACTGTTCCAGGGATGTGGTCCTTCAAATCCAGCACTGACCTCTACGAGTTCAAAAAATCCCGGTCGACCCCTACTTCCTTGACGATATCACCGGATCAATCACATTTCGTGACATTCTCCATCTCCGATCGACACATCCGGGTGTTCAACCTGCTTAGTGGCAAAATGATCAAGAAGATTGATGAGAGTCTCCAAGCCATACAAGAGATGCAACAAGCCGGAACTGCAGTATACCGTGTAGATGACATGGAATTTGGTAGACGACTCGCAATAGAAAGGGAAATCGAAGAGGACGAAGTCGCTTGTAAATCAATGAATGCAATCTGGGACGAAAGTGGCAACTTTATTCTCTATCCTACTCTCTTAGGCATCAAAGGTAACCTTCACCTCCGTCAATGCCTTCTTGAGATCTAATAGAGTATTATTCATCCACAGTGTTTAACATAACTACGAACAGGGTCGTCAGATTACTCGGAAAGGAAGAATCAGCAAGATGGCTCAATCTGAATTTGTATCAAGGAGCACCTTCTAAGAAAGGCTTCACGACAGCGGTAAGCATCTACTTCAACGACCCGGAAAGCGTGTCTCAGATCTCTGAAGGCTATGGCTGCATCCGCAAATCCTCTTCTCGCCGAGCGAGGCGCAAGAGACCCTATCCTATTTTGTACAGCGTACAAGAGGAACCGTTTCTTTATGTTCACTCGAAGTGAACCCGAGTAAGTGATTGCCTAATTTTGATTATCTCAGGCTAATTTTGTCTAGGGACAAAGCGACAGATCGAGATATTTTCAACGAACGTCCAACTCGAGAAGAACAGACTATTGCCCAGTCATCAAATACTGGGCGAACCTCTCAAGCTCCAACAGCAAAAAATGCCGTCGTCCACACTACGTTCGGTGATATACATATACGATTATTCCCAGAACATGCACCGAAGGCGGTAGAAAACTTTGTTGGTCATGCCCGAAGCGGTTACTTTGAAGGTGTTATATTCCACAGAGTCATAGCCAAATTCGTACGTCATCCATCGGACAATTGAATTGGTGAACTAATTGATCAATCAGATGATCCAAACTGGCGACCCATTGGGCGATGGGACTGGAGGGGAATCAATTTGGGGCAACGACTTTGAAGACGAGTTTGCCCCAGAACTCAAACACGACAGGCGAGTTTATATCGCCCCTACTCAACGATAACGATCTAACATATCACTCAAAGGCCCTATACTGTATCTATGGCCAACCCTGGTCAAGCCAACAGTAATGGTTCTCAATGGTTCATCACGACGACTGCCACGCCTTGGCTAGACAAGAAGCACACTATCTTTGGGAGAGCTGTTGCAGGACTGGAAGTCATACATAATATTGAAAACGTCAAAGTGAACAAGACAGACAAGCCGCTAGAGGATATTAAAATCATCAATATATCGATAGATCCGTAGTGTAGATAGTAAACGCGCCGTATCCCGATATCGATTGAGTTTCAAGACAGCAGGGCGCGGTGACTGTAATATGTATGAATCAGGACTGGTAAATGTGTCCGCCTTGACGACTCACCAACAATAAGAAGGGCCATATAGCTGTCTTCATAAACACTCGATCCGGACATTATGCGTAGGGTAGGAGTCTTCTCAAGGTCCGAACGTGATATGGGACTGCAAGAGCCCCTTTGCCTAACCGGTTTAGTCGTGCAGCAGATTTCTTGACATTAAAATGCGATTTTCCTTCCTTTCTCTACAACAGACAATGCATTAGAATCATAAAATCTCGCATGAATAGTGCATTGAATGGGAAGTGTTCAAAGTAAAATCTTACCCGTTTGAACAATCGATTTGCCAAAGCCTTCCATCGCCATGCAGCCGCATGATTCGTCTTCAATTTATATTTTTTCTTTCGTTTCACCGATAATGGCAACGTTGTGGAAAAGGCCCTCATTTGTGACAGCATACCAAGTCCTTGATATGTAGCTCCCAAAGAACTATAGCTAGGTCCATTTACAGCACGTAAAGCTGAAAAATGCAGAGTTGGTGTATGTGCTACTCGTAGTAGAGGGTTCCTCGAGACATTGAGCAAACTTTTCCCGATTAGGCCCAGCATGTTCAGGTCGAAGAATTCGCAAACAATAAATATATTTCGTCGTTAATAAATTCGGCGGTGACTTCACCGGTCTTCTATTCACCTTTCATGTTGATTTTTATCTCTATATGGCTATACTATGCGAGTCACTCTGCCCGCAGGGGACTCAGAGGATTCGCCTTCGCGATGTACCGTACGGCAACGTTGACCTCTTAGCCGATTCAAGAATAGTAAGGGCATATCCCATCTTCCTGGAGATGTCACTATACAACCATGTCATTATTATCGGCTTAGGAGCAATGACCTATCTCACTCCCATAATTGGCAAGACAGGACGGGAGGCAGCGAGAGCCGTGCGCCACCAAGACCTAGTCGTCCGGCCCAACCTCCGTTGATAACTAGTTGACAAAATGGCTGCTAGCACGGACAATACTTTCAATACCGTTCAGAAAAGGCTTCAAGAGGGCGGAGATTGGGACAGGTATGTGCACAAACCACAGAGTTCGCCATTTCGAGCAACACTACACCATCATTCTGTCCACACCCACGCCGCCTAGACCGGACTTTGACTCACAATTTATCAGAGTATATTCTTATCTACGTGAACAATTAAACGAAGCCGGCTGGTTGGACGACTTATATGACGGTGCCAAAGGTGAGCACTCTCACCATTAGACTGTGACTTTATCTAACTATGCTATTCGTACCGAATATCATCCTTTCAAACTATATTTGCTGATGCATACACCCAACCGGTTGGCAGAACGGTCAAGAGGAAAAGAAACGCTTCCCGTTCGGCAATTACTAGCGGAACTTGGCCCTGCATCAACGGCTTCTATCTCTCCAGAGGTAAAGGCGAAGGCCATTGCGATGATACAGGCTGCTATAGAGAAAATGGTAGAGAAATAGTTCGTCGCTCAGGTCCGTCTATGGTCAAGGATACGGTTCCCCTCATCGGTACACTACAAAAGATCTAGGGACATCTTTCTGCTGTAGTGGTTGTTATCATGGTGCTCAGTGTAGCAATAAACACAAGTCTAGTCCATTGTTTCCTGGTGGATCTCCCAAAGCCATGAAATGTGCGTTTTAGATTGTGTAATTATCTATTTCCGACTATATTCAATGTGACGGTTTGGTTATTGCAAGGAGTTATGACTCTCCTCTGCACTACGGCTATCCCTATGGAGGTTTTCCTCAATTCAATATCGACCAGATCTAGAAACAAAGCAAGGCTCTGTTTTGCTGCCACCTCGCCCCTTCTCAGTATCGCTTCACGGGTCTGCGGACGCCTCTCACTCGTTCATATTTTCGTTTTTGGTCGATTTATTGTGCCATCGTTGCGACACGTCGGCATTACTCCCTTCACTCGAGATTTAACGGCATTACCACCACGACAGGCATATAATTGCCACGGAATTCAGTATAGAGGAGGTCAGGAGTAGACGAATCAACTACTCCGTTTTCGAAAATCTCGCCCCAATCTGAGAGAAATAACGCTGCCTCTTCGAGGCGAAGCAGCGTGGACAATCCACCCCCGAGTGCATCTTCTACTGCACTAAACCATCCACTGTCACCTCTCAGTGCCAGGTCTAGATCCAGACGAGAGAATTTAGAGCACCCTTCAGGTAAATATGAGTGCATGTGTGGGGGCCGTTGGCATTGCTAACTGAAAGACACCAGATACAGAGGATAGCATGCGCGCAAATAAACCTACGATACTTCCTAGGATATCAGGGCATAATGGAGGCACGTCATATGCCTATGCCTACGAAGCCCTCAATGGAGGCAGTAGTCTGCAAAACAGCTGGCGGACGATTTGGGCGTGGAGGCGGTTCATCCTGGGAGGTTTTCTTCTTGTGCTTCTTGCATGGTTAGGGTTTGGAGCCTCAAGAACAACCGAAATTGTAGGAGAAGGTGAGTTTTATGCTCTTTGAATGCTTCAAAATACTGGCATAGCTATCATATCCACATTCCAATCCGCGTTACCACCAATGCTCCCGCTACTGGGAATATTTTCATCCTTTATTTACTTTCTCACTCCATTCTGCTTGACTTTCGAGAAGGCGGATGCATTCCTACACCCTTCGATGTTGCATTACAACCCAGTATCTGATCAACTATGTCTAGACTACACACACAGGCCTGACCTAGAATTCGAAATTCCACGACCGGATACGCCATACGTGGACAAACCTAATCCTCCTCCTTCTCGACCTCCACCAACTCACCAAACCCGCCCAGTCCTGACTTTCGAGACTGACCCTAACCCCGCTTCGACGGAGCAATGCAAACGACCGTATATGTCAGCCGATGGCAAAACCAAACCTCTGGTTCAATGGGCTCTCATGATTGATGCCGGCTCTACGGGATCGAGGGTACACGTTTACAAATTCAACAACTGCCAAAAGTCGCCCACTTTCGAATACGAAGTGTTCAAGCAGACCCGTCCTGGTCTTTCGAAATTCGCCAAAGATCCTGAAAGCGCAGCAAAGAGTCTGGATTCGTTGATGCAAGAGGCCGAACGTGTGGTCCCACAAAATTTATGGAAGTGCAGTCCAGTCGCCGTCAAAGCTACAGCAGGTCTCAGACTTTTAGGACACTCTGAAAGTGAGGCAATCTTGGAGGCAGTAAGACATCGACTCGAAACCAAGTATCACTTTGCGGTCGTTCAGAAAGATGGCGTCGTGATCATGGATGGAAAGGACGAGGGCGTGTACGCGTGGATCACTGCCAATTACCTGTTGGATACATTGCCTTTACAACCTCCAAAGACGGCCGCTGATCGCCTATCCAATGTCCCATATGCGGTTTTGGATCTTGGAGGAGCTTCAACCCAGATTGTCTTCAAGCCATCGTTTGACATAGACGGTGATGGAATCGACGACACTCAAGGTTTAGAAGAGGGAGAACACAAATACGACCTCCACTTTGCCGGCCAGACCCATGAACTCTACCAGCACTCCTACCTGGGTTATGGTCTGATGAGAGCTCGCGCCAGCGTCCATCGATTGGTGGAATTCATGGCATCATATTCTACAACCAAGAGCCCTGCGCACAACAAAGGCCTTGGTCACGGACATGCCAAAGGGAGCGAAGACGAGGAAGAGGACGAGGTTGAGGAAGACGAAGAAGAAGATGTCGCCAATCCTTGCCTCGCTCGAGGAATGACAAGAACCATTGAAGTTGATATTGGGAGAGACGGAAATAGTATTATGAAGAATGTGACGATGCATGGTGGTGATATCGGCAGTTGGTCGGCTTGCAACAGGGTCTTGGAGTTGGTCCTCGCGAAAGACGCGTAAGTAGGCCCAAGATTCATATCTGGTTAATTCTGACCATGTTTAGGGTATGCCACTTGAAGCCTTGTTCCTTCAATGGAGTTTATCAGCCATCGTTACTCGACTCCTTCCCAACCGGACCAATCTTGTTGCTCTCATACTTTTATGATCGACTAGCACCTCTGCTCACTCCTATTCCCAAAGCTTTACCGGGCAAAAAGGCCGTTGATCCGACTGAGGAGCTCAGCTTCCCGATATCCATGATCAAGGACATTGCCCGTGCGGTTTGCGAAGGCGAGACGACGTGGGCACGCCACCAGTTCCCTTTTGCCTCTCCAGACCGAGATGCACCTACCAAATGGGGAGAGTCTGAAGAGTTGATGGAGGAGCTCAAGGGACGACCAGAATACTGCTTGGACCTGTCATTCATGTACGCGCTGTTGAGACTGGGGTACGAGTTTGGAGAAAAGAGACATGTCAGAATCGGCAAGCAGGTATGGACATTTGTTTGTAGACTCTTTGAGCTGTTCTAACCTCGTCAACAGGTAAAAGGCACCGAACTCGGATGGTGCTTGGGAGCCACGCTCGGCTTGCTAGGAGATGCCGATTTTGAGTGCAGAGCATGATAACGGAATATAGAGAGTGGGCACAACTTTATTTTTGTTGGAAATTCCTTCCTCTGGCTCCAGACTTGTCTGGGCCACGGCGAGCCATTTTCGTTTCGCGTCATTATATCACGTATCCTATTGTATACTTTAACGTATATTTGATGTCATTCTTCT